TTATTTTGATTATTTGTAGCATAATCATATTTACACTACTCAATACAGTGATAAAGTGGTGAAGTAGATACAGATTAGCAGATACTCTGCTGCTTGTTCCTTGCATTAAATTGTGTGCTTTTAAATGTTCTTGTGCTTTATTTGTTGATCTAAATGAATAAATAACTGTTATAAGCTGTGATTAGCGTGGAAACCCTGTAAATTATGTATTTAAAACATGTAGTCTTGTGTATTCTCAGGTAAGCGTGTGTGTCTTGGGGAGCAGCTGGCCAGGATGGAGTTATTCCTGTTTTTCACCTCCCTGCTGCAGAAGTTTTCAGTTACTGCACCTGCTGGAGAGAAACCCAGTCTGGACTTCATTTTGGGAGCCACACGCAGTCCCAAACCTTATCGTCTGTGTGCTGTGCCACGTTAGAGCACGAGTTATCCTCAGCTGAGCATGTCTGTTTCTCTGCGCTCTCAATGACTGTCTTCTGCTATTGTTTTTGATGCAATGCATAAAGAATATCTGCTTTACTGTTCTCTCTGTCTATCTCTAGCGCTCTAGTGTAAGTAATTAATAAGTAATATATATTTTAAATTGAATTTGAACGTATTTTAATTTTTGCACGATTTTTCTGAATAAATATGGACTCACAAATAAAATAATCCTGATGCAATAAATCCACAGACCATTACAACCTCTCAAGGGAATCACCAAAACGTCGTACTTATGATATTTTCTCTGCACATTGGATTTGTTGAACCTGTAAATAATTTATTTAGAGATTATTACACACATAAAATACTTTTTTCAAATGATCACTTACCAAAAGAATGAAAATCTGAAAATAATAGCAGAAAACCAGCAAATCTTCACACAAGTCCATCTTTGAGATGATGGACTTTTGAAATGTTCTTCTTTTATCTATATAATTTTTTAAATGGTTTTCCGTGAGAGAAGTTAAACAGCTGAGATGCCTTCCTCACCTGTATAACTACTGGTCAGTGCACCTTATTGTCCTTCCTTGTCTATGGAGATTCAGTACAGCAACTTGTAACTATTTTTTCTTACTGATACTTTGTTTATGCTTTTGTTGTTGAATCTCACATGTAAAGGAGATTTCAATCTCAATAAATTACTTCATAAAAATACCCATTTGCTATTAGAAAAGGATACTTTTTTTAAATGAACTGCCTTTGCATTCAGTTATGTGAAAAAGAAACGTTTCACAGGACACTGCAGTACTTTAAAAAACAAAAACTATCTTTAGCAACAGTAACTTTAAATATTTTCATTCTGTATGACTTGTCTCTCACATAGTTGTAGAGAAATGTTGGCCCACTTTTAATAACTCTTTGTCATCTTCCATCCCAGACAGTAAGCAGACAGAAGCAAATCATCATGTCCCACTAGCTACAAGTGCTATGTTGATAATAGAATAGAATAGAATAGATCTATGTACAATGAGATTGAAAGAAACTTCTGCCCAGTGGAAACATGCAAACAAAAAAAAAGAAAAAAGAAAAGGTAAAAGTGCACAGTTCTCCGGTGCTAAGTACATACTCAAGAATAAATATGGATTTTATATATACAGTAATATATAACATTGCACATGTTACATATTGCAAAGTGATTAGGATTATGACTGGATTCAACTTTATCGTCATTACACAGCTATGAATACAGGGTAACGAAATACAGTTTGCATCTAATAACAAGTGCAAGAGTAGTAAGTGCAATAAGAGCAGATTACATACAGATAAGTTAAGCAAATATACAGATGTACTACAGGCAGATGTACGGATATACTAATATATACAGATAAGGGTACTACAGTGGCTTGCAAAAGTATTCACCCCCCTTGAACTTTTCCACATTTTGTCACATTACAGCCACAAACATGAATCAATTTTATTGGAATTCCACATGAAAGACCGATACTTTTGCAAGCCACTGTATAAAGGGTGGAATGGTTATGAACAGATTATGTACGGAGAGACGAAGTATACAGATGAACTACAGACATATGTACAGATATACAGATGATCTGTGTAGCATACAGATGTTCTACATTCCTATACAGATGGGCAGATATACAGATGTACTATGAACAAATATACAGATTATCTAAATATATACAGATGTGCTACATATGTACCAATGTGCTGCTGTAAGGTAAACAGATTTACAGAGTCCTATGAGTATATCTACAGCAGTAGGAGTGTAGCGCTCTGAGTAGACTATAATAGCTAACAGTGTATGCACTGTACCAGAGAGCATACTATGTCAGTGTCCTAAACTACAGTATTAACCAATATGAGCATATGGTGAATGTTACAAATGAATGTGAATCATGATCATGGTCCCTGAGAGGGATAAGGGGTTATGGATGGAGAATTAGTGTGGATGGAAGCAGCAGGGGACTGAGTTCAGTAGGGTGACAGCTGTGGGGAAGAAGCTGTTCCTAAACCTGCTGGTTTTAGTCTGTAGGGTCCTGTAGAGTCTTCCAGAGGGGAGGAGCTGGAAGAGTTTATTGGCAGGATGAGAGGAGTCCCTGAGAATGAAGTATGCTCGGCGTAGACATCTCTTCTTGTGGACATCCTCAATGGCAGGAACATGAGGGAAAGAGGAACAGGTGGCAAGACAGCTGGAACTAATTGGGCAAGACAAGGAAGTAAAGCACAATACAATAACATGAGACAAAACCTTCAAAGTAAAACAAGAAATCCACAGACTAAACCTAGAGGCACAATGCTAACACAGAACAATGGGAACACAGAACCAAAACCTAAGAACTAACAAAGACACATCAAGAAATCAAAGAGTAATAATACCAAAATGGAAAAGACTGCGTCGCCGACCCAAGACCGTGACAAAAGAAATAACTGGGAACAACCATATTACAATCCTCTGTAATGCACACTGAACCTTTAGGGCCTTCTAAATCTAATTAATGCAAAATAAATCACACTGAGGTTTCTTTACACTGAGAGATTTCTTTGTGTTAAAGTTTGTACTTTGCTCACTGTTCAGCATGAGGTGGGACTGCAGCGCTATCAGTGATTCAGGTTACAAGTTAACCTGTGACCTGTTCTCAGGATGTATCTAGTCAGAGATAGATCATTAGTCATTAGTTGTTCTGTGTATATGTTCCTATTAAGTGGATTTAAGATTTATGTCAAGTTAAAGCTAAGGCATTTGGAGGATTTATTTAATGGTTCCACAATATGACTTACCCCCAAAACAACAATATGCCGTCTGTGTTCAGTTTGCAGAGAAATATGGAAACATTTTCAGCCTTCGACTCTTTGGTGGTAGGATTGTGGTCGTTCATGGCTACAAACTTGTGAAAGAAGCCCTGGTTCACCAAGGAGAAGACTTCATGGATCGCCCAACTATGCCCTTATTTGAATCAATTTCAGGGAATAAAGGTAGTGTTTGATAAAAATAGTTGCATTTTTCCCTCTAAAGATCTAAAGATCAGGTCTACATTATTTTTTTATTTCCCAAAGGTCTTGTGATGTGAAATGGTTATCCCTGGATGCAACAGAGGAGATTTGCTCTTCACACATTCAGAAACTTTGGTCTGGGGAAGAAGACCCTGGAGTCATCCATCCAGCAGGAGTGCCAGTATCTCACAGAGGCTTTTGCAGAACACCAAGGCATACATTCTTTTTTTACAATATAGTGACATGTTATTTATGTTTTTCATGTTTTATAAAATTTAAATATAATTTCGCCCTGCATACCATATGACATTAGAGGATTCGGAGTACTAAAGACTTTCCTTTACCTGTGGCTCATCACCTGATTTATGTTATAACAAGGGGTTCTAATCAGAAGCCAAACAGCACCCACTGTTTCTCCACTTGTTGACATGCATTATATCCTGTTCATTTGATTTTAGCTTTATTGATATAGCGCCAATGCTTTCTTTAGATTAACAATTATTTGTTATGTTTTGAAACAATCTTTCTCTAATCCACCAATGTTTATTTCTAGGCCTCATGAACTGTGTACATTTTGCAATGTTTGAACCACTTGCAATTTTCAAAAATTAGGTCCCATTTGTTCCCAACTGAGCCCTGCCATGTAGCTGGCCCCCTTCATCTTCTAAAAAAGATTATTTATTATTTTAGTATATTTAAAGAGGTGTTTTTCTTCTCATTTTCCAGGCAAACCCTTTAATGCTAAGAACCTGATTAATAATGCAGTCTCAAACATCATCTGCTGTTTGGTGTTCGGCAATCGATTTGAGTACACTGACAAGCAGTACCAGTATATTCTCCAGACAATAAATGACATTATTCGATTACAGGGAAGTTTGACAGTAGGGGTGAGTAAACTTCACTGCGCGCACTGCACGCGTGCGTGCGCGCGCGTGCGTGCGTGTGTGCAAATAATGCACTATGCAAATAATCAAATATCACGATTATCTGTTGATAGAAGGAAGATAAAGATTCTGGGTTTTACCTAGAAAATTTGAAGGCTTGCACCATGGACCTGTTTGGCGCTGGAACTGAAACCACAACTACTACTTTACATTGGGGGCTTTTATATATGATCCACTACCCTGATATACAAGGTGTGTGTATAAGTAATATCTACCAGCAATATATAGTTTGTGAGCTTAGTCAACTGTGCAACACACTTGTTTTCCTGTTTTCTGTGTGTGCAGAGAAAGTCCAAGCTGAGATAGATGCTGTGGTTGGTTCATCCAGGCAGCCGTCTACAAGTGACAGAGAAAACATGCCGTTCACTGATGCAGTTATTCATGAAATCAAGAGAAGTGGAAATATCATCCCACTTAATGTGGTCCACATGGCAAACAAGAACACAACTCTGGATAAATATTCAATCCCAAAGGTATACAATCCACTAGTAACAAATGTGTGTATTTACAAAGCAAATTAACCTGATAGAAGACCATAAATAATGAATAAAGAATAATTCTGAGATACTCAAATCGCAGGCTTGATGCTAAAGAACTGTAGCTAATGGGAAGTTCAAATCCTATAATTTAAAGAAATGTTTTTGTTTCAGGGCACCAAGCTCTTGGCTACATTGCACTCTGTTCTACACGATGAGTCAATGTGGGAAACTCCACATTCCTTCAACCCTCAACACTTTCTGGACCAGGATGGAAAATTTAGGAAGAGGGAGGCCTTCATTCCCTTTTCTGCAGGTTAGTTATTAGTTACAATCAGAGATGGAAAAAGTACAGACCTTCTTTACTTGGGTAGAAGTAAAGATAATTGTGTTAAAAAAAGTTCACTAAAAGTTGAGGTACTGAAGCAACAATTTTCTGTCACGTAAATGATAGAGGGTGATTTTGCCGCCACACCTAAACAGTAATCACAACTCAGTAATTTCTAACACGAGCCTCAGTAGGTTTTCTTAGTGGACAGGCTGTGATCAGCTGACCTGCTGCTCTTTGTGGATGTACACAAGTGAATTTAACAAGATGTCAGCAGTTTCCCGAGCTATCTTGGCCGATGCCTATCAGCTACACAGACACTATACTTTTTATATTATCTTTATACTAGGCCTATACAGTCGGCATGAAGTGGGAATTCAGTGAATGAATCTAAGCATGATCATCTTAAATGCAAATTCATATCTGCTGCACTTGATGTAACCTAAATCTGATCAGGAGCACCACAGCTACTGTACACCAGTAATTTCACGACATTAATGCAAACTAACCTGTTTATCCTGCACATAACTACCAAGTATTTTCATCAACATTTGAGTAACATAAAGTTAGTATAGCTTAGTTTGTTTTGAAGGATGTTTCACAAAATTAAAAACCATAATTTATCAAAACACATCATACACAATTCCAATATGTGATTAAAATGATGAATGTAAGCTTTGAATTTGAAGTTTAGTAATTTTTTTGACTAACTGTTTAGTAACAGTTTTTGTGTTGGTTCTTCTGTCACCTGACAAACAGGACATACATGACAATAAGAATAAAATGTGCAGCTGCTTCAGTGTTTCTGTCAATTTGTGCAGATCTTGACTCATCAGTAATGTTTGTAGGTTGAGTGCATTTTTACAAAAATTTGTGCAAACTGCACTACAAGGTGGAATATTTGCAAAATCGCGAGTACCTCATGATATTTTGTCTCAAAAAGTAACCCTATGAATATGTCAGTGCCATTAGGATGAAATTATTGTGTCACCAACATTTTGACGTTAGACATATAACTTTAACAGCCTGTGTAAACTAATATCCTGGCTTGCTCGAGGCTGCCGTTTTCTCTGACAGTTTCAATCAAAATTAGAAATGCTA